CGAGCAACTGTTGAAGGTTGCCAAGCACCATTAAATCTTGAAGGACCAATCATGATATTACCTAATAGTTAAAACTATATATGTTAATTTATAGTCTGATGTCAAAGATATTCTTCGGCGTTCTATGGAAAGTTATGATGAAAGACTACCAAAGTCGAAGATCTCTTGGCTGCCTTGGCCTCTGCTTGGTTACTTGTCATGTTTTGACATACCACCGAAAAGATACTGCTACAACAGACACAAACTAATGCCTTTGCTTCTTCGTGGGTACCAAACCCAGCAAATACATGACAGACCCAACATAATGGCATCATTTTAGGCTTGCTTTTTGCCCAAAATAACGCCTACAACTCTTTTTTTTGCCACTCTTAGTCCAAGTTCATGGCAAGGTTTTCGTCGTAATCTCCACTGAGTACTTGGGCTTCATTGGGTTTGTATATATTTGTGAAGTTCCTTTCACTTCATTCTAGTCTAATATGAAGAAAGTTGTCGCGTAGATAAGCAAAGAATTTGTTCAAATTAGCTTTGAAATATGCTCAAATTTGGAAAGAACTTTGACATATTCGAAAGAATATATAGACATGGTAAACAGTGGTGGTGTTTATTTCAGATATACTCAAATCATGCTCACTTGTGACAACCTCATTATCTAATCACAGATGAATTGTCAAAAATAAATACTACTAATAATAACATTCACCAGCACAATTTTGACAATTAAACCGCTAAAAAGGTCCTACAAATTAGTTAACAAAACAAGAAAATCCCAGAATTTACCCAAGGCAATCCCTTGTTGCGCTGGTGGGCTACCTGGGCTGCATAAGCCTGGAGCACCTCATTCTTGGGTTCTCTAGATAATGCAAATTTTGAATTACTCTGCCACAATGGGTGCACACATGATTAATGCCCTTTCAGAAACCTGAGCCTCAGAAAATTAGGTGGTTGGGTTCCTTGTTCCTTTTCCGAGGCTCCTTGTTCCTAAAATCAAATTTACAACATAAATTTGAAACTCAAGTGAGCATATGAGGTTACAGTTAGATTTGAATCAGTGGTCCTGAGCATATGGATTCATTAATCACTGTTTTCAACCTCAACCATTCTTTTTTTTATTTTTTAGAAATGTAAATCGAACAGCTTAAATATATGAAGGGGTCTGAAAAGAAGAGTGCATAACTGAAATGGCTACAAGTAATATTACACGCCCACACTTATAGTCCTCGGGAAGAGCTCCAAATGGTTGATATATACTTCCCCTTCATGTTAAGGAAAATTTGGGTTCGAACGCTATCAGTCATTCTTCTTGGAGGCCACTAATTCCTGGCAATATCAGATTTTAGGATGAAACCTGAACCAATCTTAGGATGAAACGAAAGGGTTCTATTTTTATGAACACATATTGTTCATTGTTCTCAAATTTGGATACAAATGTGAAACTTTTGAATTGTTGATTCCTTCTGCATTGGGGTCCTTTTTGTCACTAAAAGTATTGATATTATTTTGAAATCTTTGTATTCTTTATAATTCATTCAGTGATCCTTTCAGGGGAAGAAGCAAGCAATGCGCACAGAATCAGTGGCTGCTGTAGAAAAGATAATTAGGAATGTTCTAAGTGTCTGGGGGCTGAAGCCGACTAGTTTAGTTACTCCAAGGTAAAGGCTTGATGTCAATTATTGCTCCGTTTGCAGAGTCTTAAAGTAAGAAAATTTTGTTCACCATGTAATGTTATTATTATTGAGAAAATTATACCTAGAGTTTGGGGTGCACACCATTTTGATATTTAGTTATTTACAATTTCAAATATTATTAGTAATCTCTATAAATAATGAAACGTTTTTTCTGTCAATGTTTCTATTAAATTTCATGTTATGTGATAGCTAATCTATTACCTTTTTCTGAAATTTATAATGTTAATTTAAAATACTTTCTCATAAAATAAAATACGATAACAGTAAAATATGATAGAAATTAAAGTAATTTTCACAAAAGGATCTTAATATTTTCATATTGGTTAAGACAATATTAAATAAACCTCTAAAGTTTCCATAAGGTCTTTTTTTTCATGATTTAATGACCATGATATGTAGCTTGTTTTCCACATATCATTTTAAACCTGTTTTCTGATTGCCAAAAAAACTCTCATTTTTTCTTTGCAAAATGATAATTTAATGGGTTATTAAGAATCTTTATATCATGGAATGATAATATATGTTACCTTTTGTCAAGTAGGAGTGTTCATGAATTAACTTTTAAACATATATTTTAGATTCACTTTAAAAACTTTTAGATATTGACCAGATCTAAAAATACTGTTATATTATAATATATTTTAATTAAAATATTAATTTTGAAATATATTAAAAAATTTAAATATAATTTTTATATGTTTTAATAATAAACTTAACTTAAATAACAGAAACAAATAGAGTTTTAAGTTTTTGAGATATCAATAGTGTTTTGCTGACACGGTTCAACTCAAAAGCAAATGATAAGCACTCTTCTAACTCTAATATGGCACTTCATGTGA